GAGGACACCATGGGCTCCCCTAAGCTACACTGGAATATACCCCAATCTGCGTGGGCTAGTTCCCCGGTACAAAAAACGTGATTAACCTCCCCCTCTCTGGCTCAGAGCAACAATGACACTTCGAGGGGCCCTGTACCCCAATGTGTCGAAGGAGACCCATCAGGGAAATGCGGAGCCGCAACAGTCTTAACATGAAGAAGGATATCTTGATTGGGCAACCTTCGAGCCAAACCTGCGAGAACACCCACGAGCAGTTCTCCTCCTGCGCAACAAGTGAACAAGCCGAGGATACCAAAAAGGCTCCATCAGATGCTAAGGTCCACACCATCCTATCGAACCTTCGAGGGGAGGGGGGAGGAACCTTCGTCACGCGCTCAATCAGCCCCGGCCCCAGAACCTGGTGAAGTAATCGAAAATTCCACTGTGCCTGAGAGACAAAATCCGACACCCTGTGCTCCTGAAAAATCTCCACCTCCTGACATAAAGCACCTAAACCCAACCAATTGTCATGCTAGAAGTCCATTGAACCCTCCCCTAGAATCCAGCCAATGTGCTCCTCCGCTAAGCGCTGGACTGAACACAACCTCCGCCAGATGTGAGATTGGGCTGCGCCCTCTTCTGCCAGGCAAGGGTGGACCCCCTTGCAATATTTAGCGTGTAGAAATTCCGCCCATAGAGACTTCTTCTGCCAAAAGTTCCACCAGAGCTTAACGGAGAAGGCATCGAACACCGTTGCCATGCTGCGAACTCCAATCCCCCCCACCGTTTGCGGCCTGCACAAATCCCCCCAGCTTATCCAGTGGTGCCTACGGCCATCCCCCTGTGAACTTCACAAGAAGTCGGCCATCACTTTTTCCAGTGACGCGAAAACTCCCTTTGGAGGGGACGCTGCTGCTAACAAGTGGATAGGCACTAACGACAAGACGCTTTTCAACAATACCACTTTGCCCCCCGTAGACAGCACCCTATGCTTCCAGGACAATATACGAGAGGTAACCATAGAGCAGATATCTGTAAAATAACTCATCCGTCGCCTTCCAACGTATAAGGGACAACTAAGATATTTGATCGGGAATTGCTTATATGAGAAACCCATTATCAACCCGATCAGAGCTCGGCGCCGCGGTGGCATTTAGGGTTGCCCTAAAAAATAGCTTTTCTGACAATTAACCCGCTGCCCCGAACCTAAACAATATCCATCCACCACTTTCTTGACCAACTGTATAGTGGCCTTCAAGCAGCTTGTAAAGATCACGACATAATCAGCGAAAGCCAAATGAGTGACCATAGGGCATCCACCGGGAGTTCTAAATGGCTTAAATTTCCTATGCTCCGCCAGAGCATTCAGCGACCGAGAAAGGACCTCCGCTCCAATAATGAATAATGCTGGAGAGAGTGGATCGCCCTGCTGTAGACCCCGTGTGGACTTAAAGAACCCGTGTGGCAAACCATTCACAATCACGGAGAACCAGACATTCGAGATTAGACGCTAAATCATATCAATCCACACTTCGCTAAACCCAAACCGTCTCAGCACCTGGAGCAAGAAAAGCCAAGAAACCCTGTCATATGCCTTTATCATGTCTAGCTTGACTACCACATTCCCTCCTCAATTGGGTCTTTTGATATCACTCAACATCTCTTGAGCCAATAGAAAATTATCCGCCATCTACTGCCCTGGCACAAAATCGCTCTGCTGCGGGGGGATAATACAGGGAAGGACCCGAGCCAAGCCGGAAAAGAGAACCTTGGAAATAACCTTGTTAACAAAGTTACATAAGCTTATCGGCCGGAATTGTATGAAGTCTTGTGGACAGGGGACCTTGGGAAGCAATACAATTGCAGTCGCGGTGATACTCCTAAGTAACATTGCACCACAAAAGAAACTCAATATAGCCCTGTATACATCCTCCTCGATCACCTCCCAGGCGGCTGTGAAAAAACTCTCGGTGAAGCCATCCGGGCCCTCCGCACTCTCGCCGTCCATTGAGAAGATAACCTCCTTAACTTCCTGCAATGATGGAGCCCTAGTCAACATCTCATTGTCAGTTTCAGTGAGGAGCCTTGGGATCACCTCTAGCATATCACTCGACGTCATTCCTCCCTCTTCTGTAAACAGAGCCCGAAAGAAATCAACAGCCTCAGTACAGATGCTTGACTCATCATCTATCCAGACACCATCTGATTTCCTAATACGATGAATAACCGACTTCCTTCTCCTTTCAGTCACTACAGCCTGAAAAAACTTCGTATTCCTATCCCCATCGCACAGCCATTTAACACGAGCCTTCTGCCTCCAGAACTCTTCTTCCACCACCAAAGCATTCCTCAAACGAGCACGGGCCTCTTGTAGATTCACTAGTAATTCGTCCAACGAATGATTGTCATGTGATATCTCGGCATCAAGCACTCTCTGTTCCGCCGTCTGGATTGCTAAGAAAATGTCAAATTGGTATATTCATATCATAATATATGAACAGTAAGAACTAGCATTCTTATCGAGACTAAAACTCATAGGGAAGAAAATAAATTTATAGATGGAATCAAATATGCAGTATTTACAAACAAAAATATTCGGTTATTGAAGAAAATCAATATACTTTTAATGTCAAATTGGGATCAACTAGGACAGAAATGAAGCATTGGATCGAACTTTTCTTTGGTGTCAAGGTAATAACTATAGTGATGTATGCAATTGAGACATCCATATAGATCAGTAGACTTGAACCTTGTTCCTATGTGACCTGATCAATTTGATCAAGCAGTTACCATCTATGTACAATCCTCACTAGATCTTACCAAACAAGAGGGGTTTTATTGATTAAATAGAGCTTTTATAAAAATTTTCAAATTGGATAAGATATTAAAATAAATAGAATAAAGTTCTATTAGTATAGAAAGTATTTGCACAATATTTAATCTACAAAAATATATATCCTATCATCCAAGAAATTGAGTGATTTCTTCTCTCTTCGAACTTTGAAATGAAAGTATGGATAAATATTGTCAAAGGCGAGTGTTCTGAATCACTTAATGAAGTTCATTTTTCAAAAACATTATCAAAAAAAAGAAATGAAGTTTACTTATTTTTCATTTATCATCCATGTTTCTCTCAATTTCAATTATTTATTCATTCAATTCACAGTTAAAAAGAGACAGAGATGGAAGGGCTTATATTCAAATCCTCACCTAAATTCATAGAAGTATGGCATATGAAATAGCTTTATTTCATATATATATATCTAGTTAATATCTAATATCACATATACATGGCTTTATTCCATAATGTAAATCAGGCACCCATCTTAGACTCAATCGAATTATCGATTGTCGAAACATCTACAAGGGTTTACTTATTTATAGTCATTCAATTACATATACATAACATATCTGAACCAATCCATTTTTATGAATTCTATTTTTTGTAAGCTTTTTTCAACAATTTTTGATATCTAGTAGACCCTCTTGAATCCTCTCCTTTCCTATTTCATTTTTTGCTTGCTTTATAATACTTTGCTTAATACTTTGCTCCGTTTCATAATGCTATAGACACACACATATATACATATATATACATGCATATGCATGTGTGTGTGTGTCTATGTATATATAGGTATATACAAATTTCTGGTGCATTTTGGTCACAAGAGAATCCTCGGTGATGAGAACGCCCAAATTACTTATCCTAACTTTGACGTGGGTTGTGGTGTATTTATTCCTTTTCAACAGTCAAGCATATTTTTCCAATGCAAAGCACTTAGATGATCTAAATTCCATGTCGGCTCCACTGGTTTTAGCCTAGTCATTACCGTTTGTCTTTCCTTTACACTTGACAAGATGTCATTGTTTATCAGTTTGGTAAGCAGGTCTATCCCTCTCACATCGGTTGGATGTGGGTTCTTTAACTTAGGTTTAAGGTCATAGGAGCCTTCTCCTGTGACCAATTGGTTGGATGTGGGTTTCATGTGGGTTTCTTATGGTTCCCCCTTAGATCATTCTTAACTGGGTCATTTAGCTGTTAACTCTCGAGTGTTTCTAATTTAATTAATTGTCTATCTCTTGACAGAAATAAACCATTACTTGGTGAGGCTGTGCCCGGGGGGGGGTCATCCCTCCCACATCGATTGGATGTGGGTTCTTTAACTTAGGTTTAAGGTCCATAGGAGTCTTCTCCTGTCACCAATTGGTTGGATGTGGGTTTCTTGTGAGTTTCCCTTAGATCACTCTTAACTGGGTCATTTAGCCGTTAACTTTGAGTGTTTCTAATCTAATTAATTGTCTATCTCTTGACAAAAAAAAAGGTAAGCAGGTCTAAAATGATAAACAATGACATCAATGATATCAGTTTGGTAAGTAGGTCTAAAACGGTAAACAGATATCAATCATATCTTGTCAAGTGTGAAGCAAGGACACACAGTATTGAATAGACTAAAACTTGTGGAGCCCACATAGAATTTAGATCATCTAAGTGCTTTGTACTGGAAAAATATGCTTGACTGCAAAAAAGGGGCAAGTGTATCACAACCCACGTGTAGAGGAAACTCTCTCTCTTGGGATTAGAGCCTCTTCCCCCCAGTGGTGGGACTTTCAGCAAAACTCAAACTTTTTCAAACACAGTTTTTCCCGCATCTTTCCACTCAAGCAATCAATCCAACATTAGAACACATAGTGTCCGAATCTAATGCAAAGTTAATACAGCACTATCAATTAATGCTAGGGTATGCAGGATGTCTGATCAAAGGAAGCATAAAGCACCATAAACGCCACGACCCCTGGTAAACTGAAGCTTGGTAACTTGATATCCCTATTTCTTTTGTTTCTTGCTTTTATGGAGGTAGTGTTGTTCCAATAGTGTTTTTTCCTTTTTAGCCATTTTCTCTTCCTCTTTTTCTTCACTCTTGACGTGTGTTTGAATTAGTCTTTCTCCAGCTTGCACACAGAAAGCCCTCATCTTGTGCAGGGAGGAAGGGTCTTACCCTCTAGAACCTCTGATAGCATCTATGGAGGGTGAGCTGACTGAACTTCTTACGAAATTTTCTTTAGCTGGAAATGAGCTCTCTGGAGCTTCACTAAACATAGAGGACCTAAACAGTGGTATTAGAGAATGCGAAGGAAGTTTGATTGGTAGAATCATGGGGGAAAAAGTTGCTAACTTTACAGGGATAAAGAACTTCGTTGCTGTGGCATGGAGTTACCCCAAAAATTTGACAGTAATGGAATTAGGGCCAAATTTGTATCAGTTTAACATTCCTAATCCGGAAGAAAAAGAAAGAATTGTGAAAGGGGGACCGTGGTTGATAGATAACCAAGTGCTAGTCCTTAGAAGGTGGTCAGAAGGGGTTGAAGATAATTATAGAGCTTTTGTTACAGCACCATTGTGGGTGCAACTATGGAACTTGCCAGTGCATTGGTTGACTAAAGAGGTTGGTAGGAAAATTGGAGCAGTGTTTAAGGAAGTGAAAGAGGTTATTATCCCTCAATCTGGAGGAAAAGAGGGTAGACACATCAAAATTCTGGCCCTTGTAGACCTTTCTACACCCCTCCTTAGAGGAATAGTGGTGCAAACAGCAAGAACGTTTAAGTGGGTAGTGTTCAGGTATGAAAGATGTGCAGACTTTTGTTATAATTGCGGTGTTGTAGGACATAGTGAAAGGTCATGTAAGGAACAGAGAGTTACGATGGCTAAGCTCTCAGAGAACCAATATGGCCCCTAGATGTGAGCAGGAAGCACCAAGAGTCCTAGCAAGGAAAGACCCCTGAGAACTAAACTGCATAAGGACAAAAGATATTGAAAATTTTAGGATGGAGAGTTGGTGGAGAGGGAAAGGAATAGGATGCAAACAGGGGAAAGGTTAGTGGAGTTCCTTGAGAATGCAGATAAGGAATTTAGAAGTCAACAACTCCTAGATAAGGAGAGGGAAGAAAAGAGTTGGGGGAACCATGACACTAGGCCATTAGATAGTCTAGACAGTAGTAAAGAAGATAAAGGTTTGGAGGATGTTAACCAACATAGGACCTTGGAAAAGCATGGACCTCTTCTGACAGATCAAGCCATAGAGAAAGAGAGACCAAGCCGGGCAGGGATGGAAGTTATGGAGGAGGATAGTGACAAGCGGGATCCAAGGATGGATCAGGAAAATAGGACACAGGAGCATAGTGTAAAGGAGACAGAATTTCAGGAAGAGTCTCTTAGGAGTGGTAAGGTCCAGGAGATGGTTAGGAGGCAGACAACAAGGTCATATAGGAAACTAAAGAATCCTGTTATAACTAGAAAGCCTTTAAAGGAGATAAATGATCAGGAATTAAGCCTAGGTGGAAATGAAAAAATGAAGAATTTGTCTTGTGATGAGGAGATGGAGGACCTACAGAAGCTAGAGTTTGTTTGTAAAAAGGCCAAAGCGATGTTAGGGGCTATCCAGACAGCAAATATAGGTGAGGAGGAGGGGGGGTCCATCCTAAATGGGGCCCTCATGCAAACATGAGAGTTTTGGTGTGAAATTGTCAAGAAGTGGGGAGCCCCTTGACAGTTTTCCATCTGAGGGAGGTAAATAACCTCCTCTCCCCCAACCTAATCTTCTTATGTGAAACTAAGAATAGGAAACAGGTAGTAGATAGGATAGTTAGGGGCCTGAGATTTGAGAATAGTGCAGTGGTGGAGGCTATGAATAAGACGGGTGGGATGGCTTTACTGTGGAAGACTGACACTCAGATTGTGGAAGTTCATCAGACTGCCTTTACCATTGAAGCTAAGATAGAAGATATAGAGTTCAATTGTACTTGGTGGTTCATAGGTGTGTATGCGAGCTGTGATGCTCAGATTAGGAAGAACCAATGGAAAGTGCTTAAGGAGAGAAGAAAACTGTGGGGAAACAGGTTTATGATAACTGGGCATTTCAATGATACTTTGTCTAATGAGGAAAAATGGGGAGGCTTAGCCAGAGAAGAGAGGAGCTTTAGAGATTTTAAGGATTTCCTGGATCAAAATAACTTGGCAGACATAGGTTTCGAAGGTCACCCTTGGACCTGGAGTAACCATTGGGGCAATGCAGGTGAGATTAGGCAAAGACTGGACAGATGCTTGGGAAGTTTTGAATGGTACCAGACGTTTGATAAGGCAAGGTGTCAACACATTGACACTTTTGCCTCTGATCACAGTATTTTGTGCTTAAACACATGTCCAGAAAAGGAAAAAAGGAAGAAGAGATTCTATTTTGACAAAAGGTGGCTCCAAAGGGAAGCGGTACACCAAGTGGTGGAAAGAGCTTGGCAAAAAGAGAAAATTTGTTCACGTATGTTCAAAGTTACAAAGAAGATTAGAAACTGTAGGATTGAACTCCGGAAGTGGAAAAATACGTTCAAAGCCAACTCCTAAAGTAAGATTGAGGAGATTAAGGAGAAGCTGGAAACTATGAAATACTCAAACTGTGGAACAGAAAAGAGGAAATATCTGAGCTCAAAACACAGCTAAGAGTAGCCTACAATGAGAAAGAAAATTTCTAGAGTCAAAAAGTCAGGATCAATTGGCTGAGAGAAGGAGACAGGAATACTAAGTTTTTCCATGCTCATGTAAAGGGGAGGAGAACAAGCAATAGAATCAGGAAGTTGCAGAAGGAAAATGGATCATGGACTGAAAATGAGGAGTAAGTAGTTTTAGAAATCTCAGATTACTTTAGGAAGCTGTTTACTAGTGGAGGAAGGAGTGATATGTCAGAGGTTCTAGAGGGTATTCCCTATTCTATATCTCAAGAGATGAATGCTAATCTGACTAAACCAATTGAGGAGAAAGAGATCAGAGCTGCACTCTTTTCCATGCAGCCTGATAAAGCTCCAGGACAGGATGGCATGTCCCCCCTTTTCTTCCAAAGATTCTAGAATCTGATAAAAGGAGATGTCATCCCTGCTATTCACATTTTTTTTAACACTGGTCATATGCTCAAATCTATTAACCACACTGTCATCTCCCTCATTCCTAAAATTTTGAATCCAACTTGCCTGAAAAACTTTAGGCCTATTAGGCTGTGCAGTGTGATTTACAAAATGATCTCTAAAATTTTGGCTAATAGGCTAAAGCCTGTGCTAGACATCTGCATTAGTAATACACAATCAGCTTTCATTCCTGATAGGCAGATTCTAGACAATATGATCCTTGCCCATGAGTACATGCACTACCTCAAGAATAAAAGGCAAGGAATAGATGGATATATGACAATCAAGTTGGATATGGCTAAAACCTATGATAGGGTGGAGTGGCATTTTTTGCAGGCAATCATGCAGCAGATGGGATTCTGTCCACGATAGATCAATTGGATTACTAGTTGTATGCAGACAGTTACTTACTCCTTCAACTGTAATGGGGAAACTAAAGGTTATGTTACGCCAAGGAGGGTAATAAGACAGGGAGATCCCTTGTCTCCCTACCTTTTCTTACTTTGCTCAGAAGGTTTCTCAAGCTTATTGAGAAAAGCTGAAGGAAGGAATGAGATAAAGGGACTGAGAATCAGTAAGCAAGGACCACTCATTACACACCTATTTTTTGCTGATGATTCACTCATTTTTTGTAAAGCCAGCACTCAACAAGCCAATGCAATCATGAAGATCCTCAAAATGTATGAAGAGGCATCAGGGCAGTTGATTAATCTAGACAAATCAGCTGTGTTTTTCAGCAAAAACATGACTGTGGAGCTAAGGAAGGAAGTATGCAGTGCTTTAGGTGGAATGGTGGAAATGACACAAGGAAAGTATCTAGGCCTTCCAATGGTGGTAACAAGAACAAAGGATCAGGTTTTTGGGTTTATCAGAGACAACATACGAGGGAAAATTCAGAACTGGAAAAACAAGTTGCTCAGTAGTGCGGGCAAGGAGGTGATGTTGAAGGCTGTCTCTATGGCAATGCCTACCTATGCCATGTCTTGTTTTAAACTACCAAGGAAAATGTGTAAAGACATCACTGCACTTATAACAGTTGGAAAAAAGCAAAATACACTAGCTGTCATGGAAAAAAATGGCCCTGGATAGACCTGAAGGTGGTTTGGGTTTCAAGGATATTGAGGCTTTTAACAAGGCCTTGATGGGGAAACAGATTTGGAGGGTATTAACCAAACCAAATCTACTTATCAGTAAAGTCCTGAGAGCTAAGTATTTCCCCAAGGATTCCATCTTTAAGTGTAAAGCACATAATAATGCTTCTTGGATTTGGCAAAGTCTTTTAGGAGCCAGAAGCTTAATTGAAAAATGTGTAATCAGGAGGATTGGGAATGGGAGAAGCACAAACAAATGGGAGCATAAATGGATCCCAGGATCATCCTCTGGTAAGCCTAATACCCCAACACCTTCGAACAGTTCATTGAAGATGGTGCATGAGCTTATCAGGCATAAACGCTGGGATAGAAACAACATTTTCAGAACTTTCAACCAAGAAGATGCAGAGAGGATTTTGAGCATTCCTATGAGCTTAATAGGCAGGGAGGATAGCTACTTTTGGCAACATAATGGGAGAGGTAGCTATTCTGTAAAATCTAGATACATACTACTGATGGAGGAAAGCGGCAGTACTGAGAAAGCAAAAGCAGGAGAAGCTGGTCCAAGCATTATGGAAGGAAGTAAGCAACTGAAACAGATGTGGAATACTCTTTGGAAGCTAAACATAAAGCATAAGATAAAGCTGTTTATATGGAAGTACATTAAAGGGGCATTACCAGTCAGGGAAGCAATTTTTAAAAGGACAGGAGTAGGAGATCCAGTATGTAGAGCTTGTGGGGAGAGCCGGGAAACAGTGGAACATCTACTCTTAAACTGTTCACACACCGTGGAGATTTGGAAGTTGGCCCCTATTCAATGGGATGGAGCTAGAGACCAGCAAGGGTACTTCAAACGATGGTGGTGCAAAATATCAGAGACAAAGATAAGACCAGAAGGAGCACAACATATTGGACTGATAGCAAATATCCTATGGCAAGTGTGGAAAAAAAGAAATAAACAGGCTTTCGAAAATCAATGTAGAACTCCACCAGTGAAGACCATGAACAAGGCTCAGAATGAGTGGATGGAACAAGAGGAACAAAAGAAAACAAAGGTGGGAACGAGCACAGGAGAAACAGTTTCTACCCAATCAGTGCATCAACAGGAGCTAGAAAGGGAGGCAAGGATAATCCTTGAAGTGAATACTACAAGCCAGCAAAGGCAACTTTCACTTGGAATTGGAGTTATAGCAAGAAGTTACTCGCAAGAAAGGATTGCTGAATGGGCACTAAAGGAGAGAACAATTGGAAGCAAGATCCTTGATGATGCAGCAGCAGTCAAACTAGTTTTATGTAAAGCTATGGAGCAGCATTGGAACAAAATCAAAATCAGCTCCAATAACAAGGAATTACTGAAACAGCTTAAGCATCCAAGTTCCTCAGACAGTTGCTTAACAACACTGATTGATGACATTATTGGATTGCAGAAGTTGTTTCACATGTGCTCTTTTGAGTTAGTTAGTGAAGAAAATATGACAAGATGTAAAAGTTTAAGTTATTATGCCTTAGGCATTCTTTTGGACGAGGAATGGTATTTTCCTCAGTTCAATTGAGCACTAGCTGTAAAGCTTTTCGGGCCTTTGCTCACACATGTACATCCCTATTACTGAATGGAAAAATTTATCATTTCGTCAAAAAAAAAAAGAAGTATCACAATCCACTTAAAAGTGGGGATAAGTAATTTGTTCGTTCTCAGTTGCAAAGGATTGTCTTATGACCAAAATGCATCAGAACCACATAGTAACTAATAAAGAAGTTCGAATATCAATGCATTGTGTGTTTAGATCGTAAAAACTTACACTTTATTTATAAATATTAATTTGTTTGTATTATCAATACATTTTTCAATCATTTTTTTATCTCACATATATCATATCAAAAAAATACTACAGTACTTTTTTTATAAAATTATCTTAGATAATTTACAATCCAAGCACAATGATAAATTTTCCGATGAGAATGGCACGTAATATCTTTATACTTAATAAAATGACCTGTATATTTGTAGAATACGGAATATTTAGGTTTTTAAAATTTGATATAAAGTTAAAACCTCGTCAGTGATTAAAGATGTCATTGGCAGATTTCTTGGAAGATGAGTTGGTCACTTGGCTCTAAATGCTTAGTCCAAGCGTGCAGACGAAAATTTTGTTTCATTCCCATTGCTTTGTCCAGGAAAATTCATTATTGACTAAAAGTACCATGAGGGTGCTTTTCTTTGTTCTGGCCAATCAGACTACAGGTTAAAATAGTTCTTCAGTCTCAAATTGTTTGTTACGCTTTGAAATTCTATCATTTTAAAAATGGTGATTTGATGATAATGTTAGTGGATTTGTTTTCAAAGTTATATTCGAAAATTCAAATTTTAAATTTCAATTAATATGAAATACAGATAAAAATGGGAATAACATCGAAAGAATAGATTGAAAGTAACTTTGATTTTAGTAAAATGGCAAATACTTTGGAATATGTCAACACGAAAAGCATTACATTGTCAATGGACTAAAAGTACCATGAGGGTGCTTTTCTTTGTTCTGGCCAATCAGACTACAGGTTAAAATAGTTCTTCAGTCTCAAATTGTTTGTTACGCTTTGAAATTCTAACATTTTAAAAATGGTGATTTGATGATAATGTTAGTGGATTTGTTTTCAAAGTTATATTCGAAAATTCAAATTTTAAATTTCAATTAATATGAAATACAGATAAAAATGGGAATAACATTGAAAGAATAGATTGAAAGTAACTTTGATTTTAGTAAAATGGCAAATACTTTGGAATATGTCAACACGAAAAGCATTACATTGTCAATGGAATGGAGGAAGTATTTTCCAAGTCCCATTTAATTTTTATGAATAGTAAAAATACATTCATTGGTAACAGTGCAAACACCAATGTTTTAATATTTTTCCCTGGCTAATCACTATTGTAGTTAACAGGGATGACAAGAAAAATTCAAAGGAGATATCAGAGCACCGCTTTGATTTAGTTAGATTTATTAACATAACACTCTAAGAGCCAAAGGCGTTACTATTCATTTGCTTTTTCGCCGTCGGTATCACGTGCCAGAAGCGTGCCTTTTTTATTATTTTATAACATAACATTCTAAGAGCCAAATTACGACACCACGCGGCTTACTTCGTTAGCTGGTTTATATTTTTTATCTGTCCTCTTTTTTCCTCTTTTGTGTATCGTCTTCGCATCTCAATGGCCTGCGAAAAACTTTTCCAGCTTCATTTCCTTAATGGAGTTTCGTGTCTTCCGGTCATGTCCCTATGCTTTACTTCTCTTTTGTCCGCTGGATATCTTGCTGCTGTGTTGCCTTCTATTGGCTGGTTTCACATGTCTCCTTCAGGTGCCTTTTATTTTGAGCTGGCCTTGCGAAACACTTCCTCGGGTGACTTTTCCAGACTCCTATCCTTACCGGAGTTTCGTCTTGCTTGAGCTCGCCGATCTTCACGTGACTTCAGGTGACTTGCTCGAGCTCTCCGATCTTCAGGTGGCTTGCTCGAGTTCGCCTTTTCTGGTCTTTTTTTTTTCTCATATGCTTGACCATTTTCCGTTTGACGCGTTTACTGTTCATTCTTCCAGCTGCGCTCATTCCCTCTTTTTTCCCCGCTTTCTTTCTCCCTGCTGGTTTGCTTTCTCTTGGCCGATTTCACCAATCTTCAAGCGACTTATGTTTTGAACTGGGCTCGGGAAAGCTTCTCCACAGCCTTTTCCCCCAACGCAGATCCGTCTCGGTCGACGTTGTCGGTCTTGAGGTGATTTTGCCCCTTTTTTTGCTTCGTTTCTTCCTTTTCACTTTCAGATGTTAGCATAGAGATACTGATTTTATTGCATTCTGCGTTAGTGTTTTATTGCTGAATCTGGGTTTTAGTTTGTTCCCTTCTTTTTCCCTTTTGAGTCGTTGCTTTGTTTTGCTACCTCAATCTGTGTTCTTCATTCCCTCCCTTCCCCATTTGCTATCAAGATGGAGATGCTAATTTTATCGCCTTCCCTTTTTATTAACCTTTATTGCTGGAGCTGTTTTTTCCCCTTGTTCTCTTATCTTGGTTGTTGCTTGTAAATATTGTTTTTCCTTTACGCTCTTATGACTTTGGTACCTGTTTCTTCCCCCCTCTCTTGTGTTATTCCTTTTTTTCCCGTGTATACACTGATGTTATTCCTCGTGTTTTTCCCCTTTTGCCTCTTTACTTTGTTTTGTTACCTCTGTCTGTGTTCTTCACTGTTCCCCCCCTTTTCCCCCCTTTGAAGATGGAGCTGTTAATTTTATTGCCTTCCCCCTTTAAGCTTTATTACTGGACCTGTGTTCTTCCTTTGCGCTTTTATGCCTTTGGTATTTGTTTATTCTGTTCCCCCCCTCTTGTGTTATTCCTTTTTTCCCCGTCTATATACTTATGTTGTCTTATGCTTTTACTTAGTTGTGTAAATTGAACAATGGCTTTGCCCGTTGCTGCTGTACCCCGAGTTGTTCGCATATCTGAGGTTAATGAAACTATGGTCAATTGGAAGACTTTGGTCCAGGTTCTTGAGTCTCATCGTGCCAGGGTCGTTCAAATGGATGGTGCTTCAAAGGCATTCCGTCGCTTTGAATTTGGTGATTCCCAGGTTTTGCACTCTGCCATTTATTTTAGTTAGCAAGTGTTTTCTTTGGAACCGCTCAATTGTATCTTGCTTAGCTTGGCCTATTTTTTCCCCCTCCAGGGTATTACGGTTTCTGCAGTTGTCTATGATGATGACATTTCGCATGTGGATGGTCTTCTGCTTCCGTTCAAGAAGTATTACATATCAACCGTGGAGATTTGTGAGATTCCAGAGTCTACTCCACCAGGAATATATCGATTCTATTGGGTTATCAACAACAAGACTACTGTCGAGGAAGTTACTGATGAGGGCGGACCAATGCTTCCATTTTATTTCCATCTCCGCTCATTTGAATCGTTTCATTTTGTGGCTGACACTGATGAATTCATAAGTTGTTTTCCTCTGCCTATTATCCTGCATTTTCCTTCCATGGATTGCATTTTTTTTATGCTTTCTGTTTTGCCTTTCCTTGCATTGCTGAATTTTTCACTGTTGCAAAAATTTTGGCTTGTGAATGAAGAGTAAACTCTTTTCTTGTTCTTTCTTTGCTTAATTATGAATCATGAAACTGTTGACACAATTACCTCGTTATTATAAAAATAACAGTCATTTCTCTATTCTTGCTATTACATAGAATGAATCCTATTCTGCTGTCTCTTTGGAATGAGTTCACTGAAAATGAAGGAAAATCTATCACTAGACTGAAAGACAAGCATCCTGTTTTAATATGCCGCAGGCTCAATGTTGTTATGTACAATGATAAGTGGAATAATTGCAGATCATCATGCTTAATTATATGTTATGCTCACCTACCTTTGTATTAATACTTTGTCTGGCTATTTTTGCCTGCTAGGAATTGCTTTGTCAACCAGGAATGACTCAGTTATTCTTGTCAATCCACCAGTCAGAGAAGCTAATCAGCTAAAGCATTGGTTTTTTTCTCTTTCTTCCTAAGATTTTTTCCATATCTTCTCATATGCCATTACTTATCATTTCGTTTTACCATTTGCGTTCATGTTTCTCAACAGGGCTGCCAGAAATGAAAAAAGCTTTGCGGGCCTTCTTGAGGATAACATGCATGCTAAACAAAGTCCTCAGCTATTTCACCAATCACAGCAGAAAATTATTTCTATCATTGATGTTGTTCCAACGCAAAAGGTTTACATTTGTACCCATTTTATATTTTTTCCCATTTTCCAGTATGCAGTAAAAAAATAACCTGCCTCTTTCATTTTCGATAATTTTCAGGTTTCATGGGTTAAGGCACAGGTTTTTTTCCAGCACATCATTCAAAAATATTATTACATGGGTTGCGTAAAATGCCACTACATGACTGCTGCAAACTTTGGAACTACGTTTACTTGCAATCACTGTAGTGAGAAACAAGAAGATTCTCCCAGGAAAGCGATCTCTACATGCAACTAATTGCTTTATGTGAAGTTACAGCCTTTTGCTCAAAACCAATGTATTCTCTAAGCTTAACTCAAGCTTTATTACATGCAGGTGTCGTTTTGATGTAGACCTCACCGACCACACTGATACACTCACTGCATCTGTGTTTGGTGACTTAGCTAAAACTTTGCTCACATTGACTGCACTTGAAGCAATGAATTATCACGAAAAGGTTTGATAGATATCCATAAAAAGTTTTACAGAATTTTTGAACAAGTAGGTGTCTTTTTATTGCTTTTATATATAGAATGCAGAATTGCTGCTGGAAAAGGTCCATCAAGAACTACAATCAAAGATGTTCATACTAAAGTTAAAGCCAACGGCTACCAGGGATAGGGGAGGTCATCAGCGTTATACTATTGTCTACTGTTTTAAGGATGCAAGCTCTGAAGAATCTGCTAACAAGTCTGCGGATCCTGATGTCCAGACTATTTCTCAGGAAATTGGCACTACTGTCCCAACAAATGCAGCACCAGGTTTGTATGTATTAGAAAAAATATTTTGCACCTATAAATACTCACTTTATTACGTTCGCTGATGTTTCTCAATAAATTGCTGTTTAGAAAACCAAGTTTCTTCATCAAAGGTGCGAATTCGTCTTGATACAAAGTTTGATCAATCTGAAGATGCAAATGACAATACATCCAAAGATGAGGAGCCACCCAGCAGCAAAAAGGCAAAGAAAAATTGATTGCCTTTTCGTTCTTTAGCTTTCTAGCTATGAAACCAGATGTCTGTGTCTTTTGGTAATGCTTAAAGCATTCATTTTGCTGCATCTTTTGAAGCTATATCTCGAACTTATAACCAACCTTTTTGAATCCTTAGTTTTATCTAAACAAATGTCTGAGGAGTATTGCTATCCCTTATTAGACATTACATTATCTGTTGCAATTCTATATATATTAATTGGATGCCTTTTGTCCATAGCTTGACAGCTTTTAACATCTAGATGCCCAATTCCAATTAATGCAAACACAACAACTATTTTCATTGATGCACACTTGCATTTCAGCCAATGCTGCATCCAACGCCCACCTACATTCAGGAATTTCAGCCAATAGTAGCTCATTTATATTAAATGCCTCTCTCTCCCTCTCTCTCTCTCTCTCTCTCTCTCTCTCTCTCAACTGATTGTTTAAAAATGCTACACAGTCGCATTGGCACTCATACTTGTTCATGCACTATTTATGTTCTCCTTTGCTTCCAGCTGCTCCTCCCCTCTTGAAGCCTTTTTCTACATAACAAGGCGGCCAAATGTGCAACTCCACTGCAAATATATCCAAACAAACAATTTAGACACACCTATTTTTACAATAGAAAATTTCTCCAAGCCTTTCTACGTACTGTTTCTTTCTAACCTTTCCCCATAATTACTTAGCAGTAAAAATGAATGGGACAAAAAATCCTTTTAAAAGATGGGAGTTAGTTCGAGTTGCCGACAAAGTCAAGTTTTATCTTCGCACATTTGATCGTAAAAAGATCCATGCGGCAACTGGTGTTAAAAGCTAGGAGGGAAAAATAATATACTCTGTCGAAAAAAAAATTTGCAGAGCCTTTCCCCATGGTATTTACGTACATGGGTGAACCATCATTATTTTCACTTGCATCGGTTAAACAATGGTTACAAAATATTATCCTTATTTCTTCACAGGCATTCGTACCCCAAGGCAAGTATCCTTTCCTGATTATGCCTCTGTTATAAAATACATGAAATTCTTATTGTTTTCTTTTTCCCATAGAACCTCCAAAGATTTCCCGAATATTAAATGGACAGCCTTGGTGCTATGTACTCTTTTGCATAGATATGGAGAAACAGGTGCTCTTAATAACCAATTCTTACTCTTGGATTACGTTTATCATATATTTACAAATCTATTCTGTTAGTAGAAAATTCCTGTGGAAATGTTTAACTTTGCAGAGGGACAGACCATTACAGTTAAACACGGCCTTGCTGAGTGGAGTCTAAAAATCACGGATCATTGTTTTGGAGGCGAATGGAAATTTTTTTGCAAGCACAACTATATTGACCTAAATGACATGTTTTTCTTGCGAAAAAGAGCAAACTTCATATATGATGTACTGCCTTTCTCGACCAATCGCCTACAAATCTGGACACGCTGGACCTTGCCCTTATCAATGATCCCTTACGAATTCTTCGTTTCACAAGGAAGCTACAGTTCTATTGCTCTTATACAGTATTCCTAAATTATATATGCACTCACACAGCCTTTCCTTTCGTTATAGAAAATATCAAAAGCCAACCGAGTGCAACTTTGGTCACGTCATCAATCAATCGGTTCTTTTCTCATGATCTTATGGCATTAGATGCTTTTTACCAAATTTTTTCTTCCGATGCTGAGCATGCGCTGGTGTGCACTTTCTCCTGCTAAACATATCCATGGTTTTCTAATCCACTCCTCCTTTATTTATCTTTGTTACACAAATTTGTTTCTTTTCCAGGAAGTTCCCAAACATGCTCATCCAAGATTACATGAATCAAGAACCCCGACTATGGTCCTCACAAGCGGAACTAAAAATTATATCATTCGAATGACCGACAACAGATTTCACCAAAACTGGAACACATTTGTTGACGATCATGGTCTTCAACAAGGAGAAATACTTCTATTCATACCCCAGTCCCGTACATCCCTTGCTGTTTTAATTTTCGGAATCGACGGCATAGAAATCATGTATCCATGGCATCATATATTTCAACTTTAATATATTAGTAGCTTTGATTGCCAAATTAGTATATCGCATCCATTACCAGATTAGCTTCTTACATTTCTCCAACATTTTGGATTGTTAACCAATACATATACCTCTAATATTACTTCTGATCTAATATTACTTATCAACAAAGCCAACTACTATTTACACAATTTTAATCCTTCATGGGCATTCACATTTTATATTCCACTGCGCGAAGCGCGGTTTACCTCTCCTAGTATACCTACTAATCCCTTACACAGTAGAATAAGATAGATTAGGTTATACAAATATTGCTACCTGAAAAAAAAAACACTATCCTAGTTTATCATTTATTTTGGCTCTTCCTAGAAGAGGCGAACATTGATCATTTTTTTAATGGGAGCCACTTCACACATCGATCACAATTTTCTTCTCTTCACACAAGATTGCTCAAAACTCCCTTGACTTTTCTTGTCATCCCTGTCCACTCACGCATTGATTTAACATACAACATGGCATGTACGCCAAAATGGAAAAGCATAAGGAAAATAAGATGAAGAGAAACCGGGCAAGATACAGAGCTGCAGTCGCTCGCACAGGAATTGCTTAGTCATTTTTTTTTCTGATAAAAGGCTCCAATGAGAAACGAAAGCTAAAAATCAACGAAGTGGGATTTAATGGTTTTGATGTGTAATAGAGAACCACAATTTGTGTGAAGGAGACGATCCAACTTCCAACTTATGAAGTTGGCAGCCAGGAGGAAAACAAATGGTAGAACTTATGAAGTTGCAACTTTAGTCCCTCTAGTTTCATTGACTTTGAATTTTTGATTCTGGTGTTTTCTAATTTAACTTTTTACCCTCAACTTTGTTTTAGAACTTTTTACCCTGCAATTTTTACCCTTGAATTTTTGATTCAAGGAAGCGGAATTTAACGGTTTTAATGTGTAATAGAGAACGACAATTTGTGTGAAGGAGATGATCCAACTTCCAACTTATGAAGTTGCCAGCCAGGAGGAAAAAAACTGGCAGAACTTATGAAGTTGCAACTTTAGTCCCTCTAGTTTCATTGACTTTGAATTTTTGATTCTGGTGTTTTCTACTTTAACTTTTTATGGAGTGTATTATGCATAAAAAGCACATATCCCCAAACATGACTAAATATATGGGACGAAAGGAGTATAATATTTCCTTTCAGTTAATTAAAAAAAAACCTATAAACTTACAAATTGCAATACTTTGCTCCCCAAATATTCATTTACAACAATCTCCACTTTGCCCCCCAAAATATTTAGGTGGTTATTTAATCTCTTTGCTGGTTGGATGTGCATGTCATTTGAAGAAATGGAAGGGAATTTGCACTCATTTGCCGTTTGTATTTGATTCGGAAATTTGACTACCATAAAAGGGGGGAGGTGGAGATTGATGCAATTTAATGTTCGTGGGACAAAGTGATAAAATTGTATTCTTGGAGGAGGTTTTTTGATAACCCTTTTTTCTTTTGAATATAAGTAAATGAGTAAAATAAAGATTAGCGAGGAAGATACAAAAGCGACTGAATACAAGACCAACTCAAGAGATAGTAAGAAAGAATAACTTCTAAAAATTCAATTTTAGATGCAATAGAGAAAAAAGTTAGTAAGATTGAAGATAGTTAGTGGCCCATGCTAAGATAATACAGAGGCTGACCTAAAACTCAGGAATAGATGTTTCAGTTTCATGCAAATTTAAAGCTGAAAAGTAATTGTCCTAAATCAATCCAAATGATTTGTTTAGATGTCCTTAACTGCTAACTACTTTTGTCCTCCTGTGCTAACATCACAAGATCTACAATAAATGAAATTATCAAAGCTTCACAAATCAATAAAATTCCTTGCACCCTGCTAAACTTCATAATGCTTATTATACCATGTTTGTCATATTAAAATTGATTTTGATCAATACAGAGTGTAATTGTCATATAATTGTTTCATTCTTGCAAACAACATATACAAATGAACAAGAACAATTCAGTCAATAATAAAAACAAGAAAGACAATCTAACCTCCATATTCATAAATATCAATGCACATCATTTCAAAATTCTTGAATGCTTCGGCCCTTCTTATTTCTTTGTAAAAACTGAATTTTGCTCTTCTCAAGTGCTGCGAGGGCATCTTTTATGTTGATCCTATTCTTTGGGATATCTGAAGTGCAGCTTAAAGCAAGCTGCAAGATAGATGATACACAAGCAATGTCTTCCTTAGCGTGCTCGTCTTCTTGATGAAGTAATTTCACATCGATAACTTGATCTATAGAACCTGGTAATGTTTCTTGAATCCAACACCTTATGCTTAGCTCTTCTGTGAACATCTCATCCTTAGGTCGTTTTCCAGTGAATGCTTCAATCATGGTAATGCCAAAACTGTATATATCGCACCTAGTTGATACTAGTCCTTCTAGTCCATGCTCTGTCACGAATATTGAAATTCACATTAGCATGGCATCAAGGAAAAAAATAGCTGTTTGATAAAGATTATAATGTTTTCATATTCAGAATAAAAGCGTTATGAAATGTTGTATCTTCAATTTGATATGGCTAACGAGTGATAGGTACGCTAGATGTTAGATTGTTGGAGTTTAAATAAAGATATCTCAATGAAGAAATGCTCCCTATGCAGTCGGGCACTTTGCTAGACAGCCTATTGCTTGCCAAAATTAAGTATGCTAAGTTGGGAATATGACAAAACTCACTTGGAATTGGTCCTTGTATCTTGTTATCTCTAAAACTTATCCACTGAATATTTAGTAAACTTGAGATGGAACTTGGGATTGATCCTGTCAAGCCATTGCTTCCTAAGTTTACGTAATCCAAGTTGCTCAAGTTGCCTAGTGACTTTGGAATTTCACCTCCAATTCCATAATGAAACATATGAATTTCTTCAAGAGATTTGGAAAGATTTCCAATAGACACTGGAAGATTTCCATTCAGTGGATTTTCATCTAGCCACAACAATCTCAAATACCTGCAATTTCCTATAAAACTGAAGAAGCTCATGTCTCCAGACACAGTAAATTTGTTTCCTGCAAGATCTAAGAGTTCTAGGAACCTTAGGTTACCAAGAGAATCAGGAATTGCACCAATAAATTTATTCCCTGACAAGTCTAGACTCTTCAATTTAGAGGCATTGGAAAGAGTTGGCAATATTATTCCAGTGAATTTGTTGTTCCCAAGATAAAGCGCTTGAAGATTGGGTAAAGTAACACCTAAAGTGGAAGGAAGAATGCCCGAAAAGCCATTACCTTCTATGGATATTTCTCTAAGAGCTGAAATGTTGAAGAGCTCCTGTGGGAGGGAATCTCTTAAACTATTTTCACTCAAGTATAGCATCTCCAATTTTGAAAGGTCACCAATCCCATGAGGTATAACACCTGACAAAAACCAATTTAGGCAACAAGTTAAATGAGAAGAAAGAAGAAAACCAATTCAATTGAGGAATACATACATAGATACATACATACATAATAATATACACACATGTATGTGTGTTTGTCTATATATATATAGTGAGATAAAAGCAACATCGTATATAGTTGTGGGATAGTTACAGTGCAGAATGGGAGTAATAATGAAAACTTTTTGTTTCCCTTTCAAGACTTACAATATTGGTTCATGATTGAGCTGTCAAAGCAACTTTATATTTTAGTAAAAGGAAAAATGGTTAGAACAACTTTATCTGATACGAACTTAATGTTAATCAAAATATCAACAAACTTATAGTGCATTTTTAATACTGCACAATTCTAAAGACCTTTTAATGTTATTATGGGAATTATTCTCTCACCATTTCAATAATTGATTGTCACGTCACTAAACAGTTAAAAAGGTTGCTGAATGGTACTTAGAATTATGGCAATCGGGTCCGTTTCGGGTTGACGGGTCGGGTTGAGACCCGGGTATAACAGAAAACCCGCTAATCCGAACCTGACCCGTCAACCCGAAACGGGTCAGGATACCTGACTCGAACCCGAAAATTTCTGGTTGGCGGGTCGACCCAAAATGACCCGAAACTTAATTTTAATTTATTAATTTACCACTATAATTTCTAATAAAACCAATTTCGTACAAGACTAATTACATAATCAAGTAATAAAAATTTAAATAAACATCCCAAACCAAATCTAAATTAAATTAAAACACCGTAAAAGTGTTTTATCCCAAATCAAATATAAAGTAAATTAAAACAGTATAAAAGTAAAAAATAATATAATACATTATTTGTCCAAATATAATAATTTCAATTTCACACAAGTTAAATAAATTCATTTAGGATTAAGTGATTAATGCCTTTGAAAAAAAAGAATAACTTAGTTTAGTTAGATAAAATAATTTTTATGTTTTTTAAATTATTTTTAATTCATAAACTGGTTATCGGGTCATATCAGGTCACCCACTGGTTGACCCGAATTCGACCCGTTTTCTTTTCGGGTCTATCGGGTTTGGCCCGATTCTGAAGAGTCATTTCAATTCTTTTAGATGTCCGATGATGATGCTCTTCGTCCGATATGATTTTTCTATGTCTGCCCTGTCTATCGGACGTCTGATATTACTATTGTGAGCGTCCAACAGCTTTCAATTTCTTTTTTCTTCTTTCAATTGCTTTTTGAATCAAAATTTTCAGAGTTGAAAAGCTTTCTCATTGAAAACATATTAGTATTATCCAATTGTTTTGTAAGTATCAAAAAATCGGGATCAAGTGTGACGCCCCCACTTTTCCCTAAGGAGAACCAAAGGGTATCCGCGGAACGCCTGCCTAACTCTCACCAGGACTCAAGCAATTCCATTCAAACTTATTACCGGACCACACAAAACGGTCAATAACTTAGATACAAGAGATGCGGAAGCGTTCAAGTTTAATAAAAGTCATCCGTTATCCAACCCGCACATCGGGTGTTCAACAACCATTATAAATTCCAAATATACATCATGCCCCAAGAGTTACATTCGGATTCCAAAATACAATCCAAAAGCCAAAACATAGTCAAAAGTAATAGAAACCCTAAACAAAAACGTATCAGGAAGGTTTCTTCGATACCTCGCCAAGTTCAATCCTGTTAAGGAAAACAAATCTACAGGGTGAGCAAAATGCTCGTGAGGCCAAGAACACACATGCAGGCACATAATTCAGGTAACAAGTCCCAGTAACAATTCAAGTAATAAATTGCAAGTAATTAATAATACTAGCAAAATGTAACAAAAAATAATTCAAGGATATGGTAGCTCTCAGGAGCTAAGTTCCACATTTTGCCGATGTCATTCGTATACCTCCTGGCGATGACTCTCCGTCAACCGGGTTGATATTTCATATCCGTAGTTCACCACTTACTTCTCATCCGTCCACCATACACCGCTTCGGGCCTGCACGACATTTAGAAGGCTATACTCACGAGTATGCCAAGCAAGATCTCTCAAATAGATCAAGCTTATCATGTAATTCTCATGGCTCACCAAGGTTCCCGACCAGGCCCATGCCGGCTCGAGTTCCAAGGTCGGCCTATGAGTTTGGGCGTCCCCCATGTATCATGTAAGTGTCGAGGAGATTCACTCCAACGACGTATGCAATCATAGCATACTATGTCATGAATTCAAGCATTTGACAGGTTTAAGCATGTATTTCAGGTCATGTAGACCAGGCAAATCATGTTAAGCATGAGTCATTTGTTTCAAATGAGAACGAGTGCGATAAAGTACACACTCGACTCCATTTTTCAAAACCAAGTAGGCTAAGCATGTAATCAGGTAAGCCAAACATGAATCAAGTCCATAGAGTTCAAGTAGTCATACACTTGACACTCACCAAGTTACGCAAGCAAGCAGGTTGGATTGAGTGTTCAAACTTCCACGGTAGGGTCCTCTTGGAGGTCCTCGTGCATGCCTGAACATCGAATAGAAGACCATTACTATAGGCCCCTAAGAGACGAGGAGATCGAACACAAATGTGGTCTGGAAATATTTTAGAAATTTCGTTTGAGTTTGTCTTTGAAGTTGGATTCGCAAAAAGGTACGAGACTCGAGTAATATCGGATTATTATTCTTGAAATCATTGGATGGAAACGAGTACGTGCGAATAAATCTCAAAACGAACGACCGAAGTTGAAAGTGGACTGGCCACGTCACAATCCGGCCGGATTGGAGGCAGTAGCCGTCCTCATTTTTTTTCAAATCCCAACTACAATCCGGCCGCCTATCCGGCCAGAAACTGGCCGGATTCAAGGCCGGATTCTAGAAGAATCCTTCCCGCGCGGGTTTCTTTTGAAATTCCAGAATTTTTGATTTTTGGTAAAATCTTTGAAAAATCATAACTTTTTTTTCTACAGTCAAAAATTGATAAACTTGGTACCGTTGGAATCGTCTTTGAAAGTACTAAAAGTTCTTAGAAGACACTGTCCCATGAATCTAAATGGAAGGTATTCAAAAATGAGCTTAAAGTTGCAGTTCCAAATCACCCAGGATTGAGCCAGGGTTGGTTTTTCGCTAAATTTGGAAATTCGGAAGAATTCACTCGTTGCAAACCAGACCTTGAAATTTATAGCTCAATTAGAGGTGCAAGTAAGGTTTAAGTTAGAACAAGCGGATCGAGAATCGGAGTTTCGAGCACCAAGATATGGTAGCTCAAAATTGGGAAAAATTCAAGACTGTTACAAAATTTCCAGATTTGGTTCCGACTTTGGACCTTTTGTTAACTATCGAAACGGACTTGGATTGACACCAAATTTTTCAGTATGGCACTCCTATATGAAGGGTATTTCTCTATCAAATTTTGTGAAAAAATACCTTCGGGAAGGTGGTTAACCAATCAACCAAAGTTTGAAATTACTAAGGCCAAACTGCCTTTAGCTCTCTTTCTTTCCGTTTCCAAACATTTGGCTAAGGAAAACCTCCAAACATGGTTCATTTGTGCAATAAAAGTCTAAGGAACATCCAGGGTACATTTGGTAGGTGTTTAGCACCAAGAAATTCATTTAGTAAGACCACAACAAATGTCATGTCAAATCTGGCCAAATCCCAAGGCTTTCAAGAACAAGACAGTCATCGTATTTTGATCATAACTCACTCAATTTAACTCGGATTTGAGCATGGTTGGTACCGCTAGAAAATAAATTCATAAGGATAGAATTTCACAGAAGAAATCGTTTTAAGTTTCAGCATGCAACTGGCTCGAAATTAAGCCTAAAGTTGCAGCATCATCAAATCATTTCGGCAGAACGGAGAAACAGAACAGCTGGATTCAGAAGAGTGGTACGGTTCACACACATGGAACCAGAACGTTCATTTTATACCGTTGGAAAGATGGGAACGTCTAGTTTCAAATGCCGCTAACGGCACTTGATTTCGACGTCGAAGTATGGAGTTATGGACGAAATACGAACACTGGTCTGGTTACGACGAAACCGTTTTCCAGATTACTAGCTTTGGGAATAAATTCGTTTGACCAACCAAAACTCAGTATTTTTCAATGAAAATTTTTACACAACTACTACAACATGTAAAAAACACAATCAAGGCATTAAATCCTCAAATTTCTGCATTAAGGTGGCCGAACAAAGCAGGGGCAAAATCGGAACTTTTTGCTTCAAGAGCTCAATGAAGTTTCTGCAATAATGCACCTTTAATCTACTTCCTTAAGCACTAATTCAACAATAAAACCATCATCAAACATCATCACAGCCATCAACTCAAAGTGGGAGTTCATAGAGCCCACATTTAACAATTTCCAACAATAATAAGCTACCCATAAGCATAATCAAACTCTTAAGTGTGAGTTGACCTTCATTGAACAAGAATTGAAGAGTGGATCATGGTTACCTTACTTGTGTGCTAAAATGCCAGATTTTGATGTCCCAAAAGCCTCAAGAAAATCCGTGAATGTGCAGCTCCTTCTTTGTCCAAGTGATTGTCCAAGTGAAGGGCTAAGTGTAGGTGAAATTTGGTTGAATTTGGTGGAGGTTTGATGGTGATTTTATTGAGCTTTGTAGAGGAGATGGTGAAAAGCTTTCGGTTGTTTCTCTGCAGCTGCTAGCCGACCGTGAAGCTTGAAGAAATGAAATGTGGTTCTGATTCCTTTGCGTACAAATGAAGCTTGCCGTCTAATATTTTAAGTACGTAAAATTCAATTGCAACTAGTGCGCCTAAGCGCGCGTTTTGTGTTCGATTTCTCTTAAGTTTGTTGCACTAGTGCACTAAACCTCTAGGGCACTTACATTCATATAAATATTATTCATTCTTAATTGTCCCAAAATAATGGTCCAAAGTCCCTCAATTAAGCGCGCACGTGAAAACACGTATTTCCAATTTAGGCGCAATAAAATGAAACCTTTGAGAAATTCTTGTAACGATCGTACCACTAACTATCACTTGAGTACTTAAACCTAAATTTACCTATTTTAGGACCATTATACATGTCCCCAAATTTTCGAGCTTAGTGTACTCCCAATTGGCTAAAGTGTTTAGACACGTTTTCACTTTTTCACTAAACAAGCTTCTAAGAAAATAATTTTTGAAACGAGATACTTTAAAAATATAACGAAGCTATAAAACCATGTACTTAGGTCTAATAAGAATAGAAAATAATATTCGGGGCAAAAATCCAAATAGATAATTAATTGAGCCAATATTAGGGTTTTAAAAATAATAATTTTACGAGTCCTCACGTGAATTGAGTATTAATTCCTCCATTAACCTTTCTTAATCTATTATTGATCGTTCTTAATTCTCCAATATTAATACACTCCCGATTCAAGTATAGCCTAGAAAAACGTGCACCCATCATTCCGGACTAAACAATTTTTCGAAAAGCGAATTTTTCAATAAAACGCTTTAAAAATACAAAGAGTCGTCATTCCATATAAATGGATTTAAAATGGTCGAAATAAATAATTCGAAGAAAATGAGTGAATAATCATTTAAATATTCCAGTAATATTCTATAAAAATAAGAAAATTTTCGGGTCCTCACGTCAAGATCATCGTTCTTCCCCTTTTTGATGATGACAAAATAATGGATGATGTTCTAAAAAAATTTGAGTAAAAAACTCTCCCTTACACATAGCATCCATAACCAAATCAAAGTCCTTCAGTACCAATATGAGTAAAGCCATGAGCAAAGTAATTTCCATCAAAAACTCCCCCTTACACATAGTATCCATAACTAATTTAACATCATTCAGTAATTTCTCCTCCTTTTTATCATCATAAAATCAGAAAATAATTGCCATCAAAAGTAACATCATCAGCTAACATCAAAATCAATCAATGGCAACCATCACCAGCTAATATCAACAGAAAAATAATATCAAAAGATATCAATGAACATCAATGATATCAACATTCATATCAATCAAAATTCATTAATGGTAACATTCAAAAACGTCAAAAAAAACACAGTACTGAACATCAAAAAATATTACAAAAGAAAAACTGAAAATGCATCCTAACATGAAGTGCAAAAGACCCTAGAGTACTGTCGGATGCCCGTTCATCAAATACTGGACGTCCGGTAAATCTTGATTGAAAAAAAAAATTTCAGATAGTCTTTTTCAAAATGCCCAATTTTGTCCTTAAAAATATAAACTGATCCAAAAGTAAAGATTTTGTAAGAATATCAGCAATTTGATCTTTCGAACAAATATATTTTACACAAATTTCATCCTATTGGATAGGATCACGAATGAAATGATACTTTATGTCTATGTGCTTTATCCTAGAGTGTTGAATGGGACTCTTTGTCAAATTTATGGCACTCGTGTTATCACAATACATAGGTACACAGTCATACACTAGTCCAAAGTCATTTAAGGTATGTTTCATCCAAGCAATTACTAAAAAAATGACATGTACCACTAGTACTTTTTCTATCTATCTTACACCCACTAAAATCAGCATCCAAAAATTACATAAGGCAAATTCATGATATTTATGATATCAAAGACCATAATTCAAGGTTCCCATCAAATATCTAAAAATTCTTTTAACAGCATTTAAATGAGATTCTTTAGGGCAAGATTGAAAACGAGCACACAAGCAAACGGCAAACATAATATTGGGTCTACTTGTGGTTAAATAAAATAAGCTACCAATCATACTTGTATATTTTTTCTCATCAATTTTCGTACCTTCTTCATCTTTGTCAAGTTTGGTGAATGCACACATAGGCGTTCCAACTTGTTTCGAATCCACCATTCCGAATCTTTTAAGAAGTTCCTTTGTATACTTTGCTTGATTAATGAATGTACCCTCTTGAGTTTGAAACACTCGGAACCCAAGGAAGAAATTTAACTCTTCCATCATACTCATTTCAAATTCATTTTGCATAATAGTGAAAAAATTCTTGCATAAACATTCATTAGTAGCATGAAAAATAATATCATCCACATATATTTGCACGATAAGAAGATCATTAGAGTTTTGTTTAGTGAAAAGAGTGGTATCCACAATACCTTTTTTAAAATCATTCTCAACCCAAAAACTATCCACTTTTTAAAACCATTCTCAACCAAGAGTTTTGAGTTCTTGAGAATTAGCATCATGTCTAACTATCCACATGTATTTTATGCATCTTCTCATGTTCTTCTTCACATAGCAATCACTTTTCATGTGACCTTTTTGACAACATAAACTACACATAATCAAAAAGTTATTTACATGAAAAAGTTTAATAGATCGTACTTCTCTTCTCTTATGAATAGTAAATTCATTTGCACCAGAATTTAACTTCTTTTCATGAGTGCCAAAATGAAATTTTGATCTATTTCATTGAAAACAGTTTTATTTTTTATGTTAGAGAAACTCATTTAGATTGTTCATTCTTCTGTTCAAATCACCTTGTTTCTCTTTGAACATTTCACAAAGTCCTGTTTTTCTATCAAGCTTATTTTGTAGATCAATCTCACCCTTTTTCAAATAATTATTTTCAATTTTTAGCTTTTTATTTTCTTGAAAAAGATGTGCATTGTCTTGAAGAAGAAAACTAATTTTGTGTTTTAATTCCTTGTTTCGAGTATAAGATTCTTTCAAACTATCATGCAATTTTTCAATGAAGGATTCAAGATCATCATCAGTTTCATCATCACTTTCAAGTTGAGGGGTACAAGTTGTTACCTCATTATTTTCCATTGCCATAAAAGCCATTTGAGCAGATTTTTCTTCCTCTTCTATTTCAACATCGGAGTTGCACTAATTCCATGTGAATTGGAAGTTGTTGAATTTTGGTTTTCTTTCAACTCTTCCTTTTTCTTCTTCTTCATTGGATACTCACTCATGTAATGTCCAAATTGGCCGCATTCATAGCATTTGTCACCTTACTTTTTGTTGGCCTCTTGCTTTCCTTTGTTTCTTGCATTGTTGAATTGATTGGAATTTGAATTGCTAGATACTCCTTTTGTGAATCTCCTTTTGTTGAAAATTCTCTTAAAACTTTTTGTGATGAGAGCAAGGTCATTGTCATCAACATCCATATCTTCACCATCCAATGAAATCGAGTCATTTTCATCTTGGGATGCTTTTAGAGCAAAACTCCTTTTTACGTTTGCATCTTTTTCTTCTTGTACCTTGGTCTTAAGTTTCAACTCATAAGAAATTAAAAAGTTTATAAGAGATTCATTAGGCATTGAATTCAAATTTTTCGCCTCTTCAATAGCAGTCACTTTACTCTCCCAATCTTTAGACAAAGTATTTAAGATTTTTCTATTTTTTTCTCCTAAGTATTCCTTTTCCAGAACCTCTAAATCCTTAATAAAATCATTAAATCTACAATACATTTTATCAATATTTTCACGAGGTTCCATTTTAAACGACTCATATTTAGTAATCAAGATAGATTTCTTTTGTTCTCTAACATTCTCACTGTCTTCATGAATTTCTCTCAATTTGTCCCAAATCTCTTTAGCAAACTTACAGTTTTTGACCCTAATAGATTCATTTGAGTCTAAAGTACTATATAACACATTCATAACTTTTGCATTTAAGATGAGATGAGCTCTATTCTCTGCAGTCAATTCATTTCTTGTTTTTGGTTTGGTCTATGAGTATTTTCATCTTCTATTGAGACATCATATGGACCTTCATTAACAATAAATCACAGTTCAATGTCAATTGACTGCAAGAAAATAACTATTCTCTTTTTCCAACTCACATAATTTAACCCATTAAACATTGGAGGTCTAGTTACAGATTGCCGTTCAAAAAACATGACATTGTTGGTTGTTATCTTCGCTCCTAAGCCTCTTGAGTTTAATCGCTAGGAGACCAAGTTCTGATACCAATTTTTAGCCCCGAAAATAACCTAAGAGGGGGGTGAATTAGGTTGATTAAAGAAACTACTCAGGTTATGGGCACTTTTTGCTCAATATGAAATTTACCCTATTTTTTAAGCGATCACACAATGAATCAATCAATAAAGGAGCAATATCACTTAAGAGAAGTAGAAGAGATATGCAATTTAAGGTTCACAAGATAATAAATAAAAAAAGAAGAATTGCAAACCAATTGACTACCAAACACCTCTTGAACTCGAAAATCAATTCACAAAACAAGCTTCTTCAAGTTGATGAAATACAACCAATCTTGTGTACAAAGGAAAGCTCACTTCCTTCTTGCCCTAAGCGTCACTCGGTCAAGTTAGGAAGTTTTACAATCCCTCAAGATAACCCTCACAGAGCTACACTATTGAAGTATTCACTCACAAATGAAAAGCTTACAAAGAACCTTACTCCACAAAGAATACAAATGTTCGTTGAAGAATATTTTCTCACTAAAACTACTTTTGATCTTTTGTATTTTCAGTGTGCAAAAGTTATTTTGAAGTTTTTGATCATACTCTACTTATAGGAGACCAAGAAAGTGCTTCATTGAAACTTCCAATGGATAGAAGCTAGCTGAAGAGTCAACTAGCCGTTGGGAGTATCGGACATCCAATACTTCCGATGCTTGCGTCCGAAAGCAGGCAGAGAGTTTGAAAAATCTTTTCAATTCTTTCGGACGTCCAGTATTTCCGATGCTTGGGTCCGAAAGTGGACAAA